AATGTGTACGTCAGGTAAACATGAATAAGTGTAAGTATATCACGTGCAATATTTGGGATATACTTAGACTAAAAATACGTATGTTGCTTACCTAAAATTCAAATTTAATTGGATGTCCTGTATTTTTTAATGCTAAACATGGCATCCGTATGTGTTCAGGCACAGGGGTGCAGGGTATTCAGTGATGAGAGTCACAGAGACCTCTGTCAGGACAGGCACATGGAGATGAGTTCACAGTTCGCTGATTCTGTCCAGGGTAGAGCCCCAGAGTCAAGGGGTTGATGGGCCAGGGTGGGAGCACTCACCCTGCTGGGAGTGCAGGTGCGGAAGAGGGGACCACTTCCTCTGAGCCCCGAGAGTCCATGGCAGGGAGGCCATAGTCACAGAAAGATGTCCCCTCCAGTCAGCCAGCCAATACTGTGCTCCAGTTCAGTGCCTGGCTCCGTGCTGGGAAGACAAAACAAGTTCACTGCTTCCTGTGATGGGCCGAGGGGCAGGGAGACTACAGACCTGCCTGCCAACCCATAGGTGGACTAGGTCACTGCAGATGTAATGATGAGCTAGAAACTGGGAAGCCCACCTGAGGAGGGAGCATTTCATTTAACTCGTATTTACTGAGCATCTACAGGGCCAGGTACAAACCACTGCCCTCCTGGGGCTCATGTTCTTGCAGGTGAGACAAACAATAAGAGGGTAAACATCTAAGTCCGGGTGATGGCTTCCGAGAAAGAGACAAGAGCTGGAGAGGAATCAGAGGGGGCTGGCCTGGACCCAGCTGAAGCCCAGGGGCCAGGGTGACCTCTCGGGGAGGTGCGCTAACTGGGAGGGGGCCCCAGGCCGGGGGCAGCGGGGGCCTAGGCCAAAGCCAATGTTGGAAAAGGAGCTAAGGGATTCTCGTGGTGCCAGGAAGACTGGGGTTCGGGATGCACCTCCCAGCCTGGTTATAGGATTGTGAAATGGGTCTGTGTCCCCTGGTAGCTGTTGGGACATGCCTTTTAGGACCTCCAGACAGCACAAAGGTCCTAAAGCGTGCGCTGCACCTGCCACAGGGGGATCTTTAAAGAGAAAAGATCCCGTCCGCTCCGGTAAGGAGTCCTTGCTTCCAGAGGGCCGTCCCTGCGCGAGGCCGCCTTCGCGGGAGTGGGACCCGTGCACACACCAGGGCTCAGCGCTCAGAAGGGCCCCAAGTGTGGTTTAATGCTTTCCTGTCGCCATCTTGAAATTCTTCATAACTAATACTTTGTGAACAAGAGGCCCTGAAAATCCTGTAGCTGGTCCTACTCTGGTGCCAAGCCCTCGTTGGCAGCCAGTCAGGAACCTGGGAAGCCAGCGTGGGTTTTGGCCGCAGCTGAGGGTGGCTGGCTGTGTCCTGACTGTCTGCTGGGCCCTGTGGAAAGTGCCCGGCTGAGTCAACAAAGGGCCTGCTTTGGCAGCAGACAGTGGGGCAGTGGGGACAGGACAGACCCCTGCCTCCTCAGGTCCAGCCCCGCTGCCCTCACCCCTGCCACCCTGGGCCTGCCACACAGGCTGCCTCTTCAGCAGCAGTCTATGGCAGCCATAAGCGGTTCAACAATCTCTCTTCCAATTTACCATCTTTGGAAACTCCTGCCCACTGAGTCGAGTTTTTTTCCAAGTCCTACGTGTGGTTTAGTGGGCCTGTCAATGTTCCCATGTTAGCATCTTTGGACTTTGTGTTTTTATTTTGGTTTTTTTTTGTCTTGATTTGCCTTGAAACACAAATAAAAGCTAATGTTTATGGACACCGCCTGTGTGCCAGGCCCTGTTCTAGCCACTTCATATTCTTCCGTTTAATCATTCAACAAATATGCACCGGGATGCTACAGTGAGCCAAGGATTAGCTCACTGGATCTCCACAACTGCCCTATGAGGTTCAAGCTAATATTATTCCCATTTGAAGGAGGATCAGGGGCCCGCAGTGAGGGGAGAGAGATTCCTTTTTGTACTCAGGGGAGGGAAAAGGGTTTAAAAGTTATTATTACTTCCTTTGAATAGGCTGGAACCAGAGCAGAGCCTTGCAGGCCTAGAGAAAGCCAGCCCTGGCGGTGGGTGAGTTCTCTCCTTGCACTGGGTACAGCCATGCCTCTCACTTTCTTAGGAGGGCAGGCAGGAAACTTCCTGGAGAGTCGAACTCAGGAACAGTTGGTTGGAGCTTTATGGAGGAGTGCCCAGCACAGAGGGAAGGTCAAGGCACTGACCACCGTTTGTTTGGGAAGAGAAGCTGTCAGACCTACAGACCTGACCCAGTGTAGGGTCCCAGCCCAGGGACGGATGACGCAGTGCTCAGGGCCTACCGTGGAGGACGCCCCTGCTGTGGGCTGGGCAGTCCCAGCCCCTACCTTGAGGAGGGAGGGGCCCCAAGTGTTTCTTGGGGGATTCGGGAAACGTTGGCAGGGCCTGGAATGACCATGGGTTTGCTCGCTTCCTAAGCTAATGGAGACCAGAGACTCCATGGCCCCTGCTTTCTACCCCTTCTTCTGGAAATACGGGACAGGGTGAAGTCCCAGCCCTTCTCCAAGCTTTGGCACTGGATGCGGTCTCAAGAAATCACACATGTTGATTGTCTTAGAAATGAGGCAGCATTTACACAATAGAGGGTGAGCCGCCAGCAGGCAAAAATAACCAGTTAATTCAGTGGATTAAAAAAAACAAAACCTACCTACAGCATTGACCTCTGGTTGATCTGTCTGGGACAACAGCCTGGTCACATTTGTTGAGCGCCTATGTGGTGACACCACTGTTCTGACGGTGGCACCTGGGACTGGTTAGTGGTCTCACCCTGATTCCAAAGTTAGTTCTGCCTGGAGGTCTAATGTGGGGTGTCAGGCACGGTGGCCACAACTGCACCTAATGGTTCTATAATTTAATCCTCATGGCAAGCCCAGGAGGGGAGGACCTAGCATCACTTTATTTTCCCTTTTATACATGAAGGGGTTGACAACTGGAAAGTCTTCGGACAATGACAGGACCCCTGGCTAAGGTAGGTGGTAGGAAAGGGCAGAATTTCTTTGGAAGAAGCATGCAGTTACCCACACTCTGCGGGGGCTTCCTGCCTAGGGCTGCCGGATCAATGTGAACGTCAGGTAAACATGAATAAGTGTAAGTATATCACATGCAATATTTGGGATATACTTAGACTAAAAATACGTATGTTGCTTACCTAAAATTCAAATTTAATTGGATGTCCTGTATTTTTTAATGCTAAACATGGCATCCGTATGTGTTCAGGCACAGGGGTGCAGGGTATTCAGTGATGAGAGTCACAGAGACCTCTGTCAGGACAGGCACATGGAGATGAGTTCACAGTTCGCTGATTCTGTCCAGGGTAGAGCCCCAGAGTCAAGGGGTTGATGGGCCAGGGTGGGAGCACTCACCCTGCTGGGAGTGCAGGTGCGGAAGAGGGGACCACTTCCTCTGAGCCCCGAGAGTCCATGGCAGGGAGGCCATAGTCACAGAAAGATGTCCCCTCCAGTCAGCCAGCCAATACTGTGCTCCAGTTCAGTGCCTGGCTCCGTGCTGGGAAGACAAAACAAGTTCACTGCTTCCTGTGATGGGCCGAGGGGCAGGGAGACTACAGACCTGCCTGCCAACCCATAGGTGGACTAGGTCACTGCAGATGTAATGATGAGCTAGAAACTGGGAAGCCCACCTGAGGAGGGAGCATTTCATTTAACTCGTATTTACTGAGCATCTACAGGGCCAGGTACAAACCACTGCCCTCCTGGGGCTCATGTTCTTGCAGGTGAGACAAACAATAAGAGGGTAAACATCTAAGTCCGGGTGATGGCTTCCGAGAAAGAGACAAGAGCTGGAGAGGAATCAGAGGGGGCTGGCCTGGACCCAGCTGAAGCCCAGGGGCCAGGGTGACCTCTCGGGGAGGTGCGCTAACTGGGAGGGGGCCCCAGGCTGGGGGCAGCTGGGGCCTAGGCCAAAGCCAATGTTGGAAAAGGAGCTAAGGGATTCTCGTGGTGCCAGGAAGACTGGGGTTCGGGATGCACCTCCCAGCCTGGTTATAGGATTGTGAAATGGGTCTGTGTCCCCTGGTAGCTGTTGGGACATGCCTTTTAGGACCTCCAGACAGCACAAAGGTCCTAAAGCGTGGGCTGCACCTGCCACAGGGGGATCTTTAAAGAGAAAAGATCCCGTCCGCTCCGGTAAGGAGTCCTTGCTTCCAGAGGGCCGTCCCTGCGCGAGGCCGCCTTCGCGGGAGTGGGACCCGTGCACACACCAGGGCTCCGCGCTCAGAAGGGCCCCAAGTGTGGTTTAATGCTTTCCTGTCGCCATCTTGAAATTCTTCATAACTAATACTTTGTGAACAAGAGGCCCTGAAAATCCTGTAGCTGGTCCTACTCTGGTGCCAAGCCCTCGTTGGCAGCCAGTCAGGAACCTGGGAAGCCAGCGTGGGTTTTGGCCGCAGCTGAGGGTGGCTGGCTGTGTCCTGACTGTCTGCTGGGCCCTGTGGAAAGTGCCCGGCTGAGTCAACAAAGGGCCTGCTTTGGCAGCAGACAGTGGGGCAGTGGGGACAGGACAGACCCCTGCCTCCTCAGGTCCAGCCCCGCTGCCCTCACCCCTGCCACCCTGGGCCTGCCACACAGGCTGCCTCTTCAGCAGCCATAAGCGGTTCAACAATCTCTCTTCCAATTTACCATCTTTGGAAACTCCTGCCCACTGAGTCGAGTTTTTTTCCAAGTCCTACGTGTGGTTTAGTGGGCCTGTCAATGTTCCCATGTTAGCATCTTTGGACTTTGTGTTTTTATTTTGGTTTTTTTTTGTCTTGATTTGCCTTGAAACACAAATAAAAGCTAATGTTTATGGACACCGCCTGTGTGCCAGGCCCTGTTCTAGCCACTTCATATTCTTCCGTTTAATCATTCAACAAATATGCACCGGGATGCTACAGTGAGCCAAGGATTAGCTCACTGGATCTCCACAACTGCCCTATGAGGTTCAAGCTAATATTATTCCCATTTGAAGGAGGATCAGGGGCCCGCAGTGAGGGGAGCAGGCTATGAAAGCAGATGCTTAGACCCCAACGCTGGAGGCAGGCCTTGGCAGACGGTGCTTTCTGCCCCTGCCCCGTCCTCACCGTCTCTGCCTGGGTTAGCCAGGCCTTCCCTGCCACACCATTTCCTGGGCTCCCTGGAGGATCCTCAGGCTCCACCTTACCTTGGAAGATAGGAGCCACTGACTTCTACAGGGAGGGGTGAGTTCAAGCAAATGGGGAGGGGTGAAGGTCAAGACCAAACCCAGAGAGGCACCTCTGGACTCCTGGCTGCCAGAATCCAAGTGGATGACCTTGGCAGGTCACTTTACCTTGCTGAACCTGTGTGTCCTCTATCCCTAAGCGATGGTGGGAACAGTGTTTCACAGTGAGGGTGTGTGTGTGTCAAGGCATCAGCATATTGACCGGCAGCATCTGACGTGTGTTCGCATGTTCATGCCTGTCTGGCACCCCACGGGGCAAGTCCCCTGATGCGCCCCTGGTGGGTGTGTTGATCGGGGTCTGACATGCAGCAAGAACTTGGCAAACCTCTGTGGCATGAGTGATTGGCACCCACACACAGAAGCACACAAGTCATATTTGGGGCTGCCTTTCTTACTTGCTGACAATTCTGTCTTCCCTACTCTCTCACTCCCTCCACCCCCACACATCTCCTTTGTTGGGTCCCCTGCAATACCCAAGAAATATCTGGAACCCAGAAACCTGGGCCAGTGCCTACCAAGAACAAATATTTGCCTGGTAAAAGAAACGGAGCCAGAAGTCTTAACCATAGAGATGGGGGGGCGGGGTGTACGTAATCTGTGTGTTGTGGGTTTGTGGGTGCGTGTCTGCTGCATACATTGTGTGTACGCATGCTGTGGGGGAATGTGTGTGTTGTCTGTTTCCTTGGTCGTGTTGGGTGTGTTTAGGTACTAATATAGGAGCTTAGTTCCTGGACAAATGTCACATGATTGAGCTCTCCAGCAGTAAGCCAAAGAAAGTTGGCTAAACTGGTCACAGACGTACCTCCACCCCCATCAGAGGAGTCTCCTTTTCTCCAAACCATTTTCTCATTTCCAGCAGGCACCTAGTTTCTACAGAGAAGATGCGGCTTTGCAACCAAGGTGGGGAGATGAGGGGTGGGCAGAAGGAAGCCGGAGAGCCAAATCCCACCCTCTGACAGATGGGTAAACTATGACCCAGACAGGGACGTGACTTGGCCAAGGTCAAGCTGCTGGTGAAATACCAAAGAGCAAGCCTGGATCCTGTTCCTGACTCCCCGCCCAGGCCCGCAGGGTCTTTCTTTGGTTGCCTTAAACAGCTTAATATTCGGACCTTTCTCTCACAGGCTGAGACTGATTGGGTTTCGGCAGGGTCCAGATGTTCAACTCCGGTCTGAAACACTTCCAGAAAAAACTGTGTGTCGTTGAAGCTGAGGTCAAGATGTACCCAAGCAGAAATGTTTCTGTGTCTTTGTTCTAGTGAAGGATACATTTTACTGTTGTCAGGAGTGATTAATAATGTAAAACTATGATTCTCAGTGGCCTAAAGGCCTAGGGCCAGGCTGGGCCAAGGCCCTCTGCTGCCAGGCTTAGGGGGTGCTGATGAAGAAGGGGCTTGCTCTGAGGGCAAAGGCCAGCCGAGTTACAGAGAGTGTAGGGAGGGCTGTGTCTGTCCGGCTCTGCGCTGGACCAGTGACTTTGTACCTGTGCACAGACACCATTCCTTATGGCCAGCCAGGAGCTGCCCCGGGCCCTGGGAGAGTACATGCCGTTTGGGGCAAGCTGGGCTCTGTCTTCACAGAGTTTACCCTCTGCAGGGAACACATACTCATTCCATTCCCCAAACACTGAATTCTGCATGAGGTCACACAAGGATATGCCGCAACTTCTAACTGTGTGACCTTGACTGGGAAAGTTAATGAATGGATGACTTTCCAGGCCTCAGTTTTCTCATCTTTAAAATGGAGAGCATAAAGGCACTTATGCAGAGGGCTATTGGGAGGATTAAGTGGGGGAAACTCCTGTCCTGCACTTAGCCCAGGGACTGGCTGGAACAAGCTCTTGAAAAAAGTTAATTATTATTACAGCATGCTCTGCCCCAGGAGCTCCCAATCCCCTGCAAGATACAAATGAACCACAGAATCTCCTTTTTCCCTTTGAAGATGCTACTCCAAACTGTAATTTTTCATGAATGTGTGAGTTGCTTCATTGTGTGTTTCTAGTCCTAGCTGAACTGTGCCTTGTGTATCCCGGATGTCTGGTCCCAGGAACAGATGCTCAGATATCCCCAGGACCTCCAGAACACCAGACAAGTGCTGTTAGAATGCAAGAAGTACAGCACCACAGGCTCCAACAGTCCCACAAGGGAGTGGCAGGCAGACAACACCTTCTGCCCTCCATCTGCCAGAGTTGGAGATCTGGCCCCCTCCACTTTGCACAGGAAGCTGGGTGCTCATACAGGCTCCTGGGAACAGGCGTTCAGGTGAAATGGCATTGCATTTTTGAAAGGGTTATTGGCTGCTCCTTTTGTTCTTTGCTGTATCCACAGTGCCTAGCATCAACTAGGCTCTGATTCCTCAACACATACTCACCCAATGAATGAATGCTAGATAATTTTGCAATGTGCATTAGGCCCTTGAAGTATGAGTATCCTCAACCTTTCGTTCCATTTCTACAACATATTTTAAGGAAATAATCAGAGACCTGATTATTAAGGTCACGAATATTGGTCTTATCATTTTTAAAAGCAAAAAATGCAATAAAAAATAAGAAAAAAGGGGGGGATCGTTTAAATAAAGTCAAAGATAATGCAGTGGTTAAAACCGGTGTTTTCAAAGATTATTTGATGGTAGAGAGAAAGTCTTTTATAAAGTAAATTTAAAAATAGGCTGCAGAACTGATCCCAATTTTGCACAAATAAAATGCTTAGAAATGACTGAAGCCAATATTTTAACAGTAATTAGCTTTTGGTAATGGATTAACTTAAATTTACATTTCTCTTATGTTGTTTGCTGTATTTTCTACAATGACGGTTAATTTGAAAATTTTCTTAAAAGACTACTTAAAAGTGCCACTGAAGCAGCACGCACATCTTCTCCCCCGAGGCTGCTTTAAGGCCAGTCCAGACTCCGAAGGGGTGCCTAACGCCGCTGACTTCCCGGGCAGCCCGGAATGACACAGCACAGGGGCCAATCCGAAGTTTGGATTCCGGGAACAGCCACCCGATTGGACGCAAGTGCAAGCGGCTTCGACCAATGATAGAAGAAGGGCAGGAGCCGCGGGCCGCTGGGTTTTAAATCCACGTGTAGTGGAAGGGCTTGGCGGCAGCTGCTTACTACTGGGGTTCGAGTCCTGTACGGGGAAGGCGGGGGCGGTGCTGACCCCCCTCCTCCTGCGCTCCTGGGCAGATACCCATAGTATCCTACAGACCTTATAGGGTCTTGTGAAGATTCGCTGGCATTCACCCATTCACAGACGTTAACTGAGCAACTAGTTTGTGCCAGGCAGGGCCTGGTGGCATGAGGTAGAACCCACAAGAGTCATGCTGTAAATGCCACGCTTGCTTCTGTGTAGCCCTGAGCAACGTGTCTTACCCCTACTGCCCGCTGCTCTGCTTCACCCTAGCCCTTATGCCCTCCCCTACGTGGGCATGAATTCCAGGGACAGGAGGTGACGGCGGAGGTACCCTGACATCTTGCGGTGGGTCTGCCCCATGGTTCTGTTCAGTGTATACTTGCTGAATAATTATCTCAAGGATCGGTTCTTAACCACACTGCTTGCCACGTAGTAGGCTTAATAAATGGTAACTGTGCAATAAAGAACTTGACAGCTAGTATTGATTCAGGGCCTATTATGTGCAAGAGCATTCTGGGCATTTTACATGTATTACCTAATTCAATATTTACAAAAGTGCAAATCTTATCAAACTTAATATTCACAAAGTTAAGTCTTCTCTCTAATATTCACCAAACAAGTTAGGTACCGTCATCATTCCCATTTTATTAATGGGAAACTGCCTCAGTGGAAACTGAGGCAGAGGGAAGCCAGGCAGCTTTTCTAAGATCCTGTGGCCAGGAGGTGGTGGGCATAGATTCAGACCGGGTCTCTCTATTTCCAGAAGCCTTGTGCTTAACCACTGCACTCTCCCAATATTTATACAGTATCCAGTCTTTCTTTTCTAGGAAAATTCTCATACATCAGGCCTGTGCCCCTGGAAAAGGAGAGAAAAGGTAGGCAGTAGGAATTTTATATTGTATGCATCTATGTAACCACCACCGAGATCAAGATAGAGAACATTTCCATCACTCTAAATCATTCCTTCTGTGCCTTCCCAGTTGCCCCCCACCCCACCCTGCCGCAGAGGTAACTGCCATTCTGACTCCTTTCAGTGTGGATTTGCTCCACCTGCTCTTGAACTTCATCCAAACGGGATCACACTTCTGTGCGCTTCCATGTCTGACTTTTTCACTCTTGGTCTGGGAGACTCATCCTCATTACTGTAATCATGGTTTGTTCCTTTTCATTACTCCTTAGCTTTTGTGACACACAACTGCTTATCCATTCTTCTATCAATTCTTTTGTTGTTCTCGGTTATTTCCAGCTGTTGACCATGTCAGATAGGGCTGCTCTGAGTATCCTGGGGCTCGTCTCCATCCCTGCTGCACATATGTGCACACGTTTCTCCTGGGTTCACTGCCAGGAGTGGGGATGCTGAGTCAGAGGTAGGCTTCCACTCAGCATTAGTAGATTGCCAAACAGTCTCCCAGGCAGTTCTACCAATGTACAGTCTGAGACTCCCCCAGCACTTGACATTGCTGCTCTTTTCATTGTAGCCATTCTGGTGGGTGTCACTCCTGACTTTTGGAACTATTCTAAGGAAGCCGGGTGCTGGGACTCACACTTGCTGTTCCTTCCTGACCACTGGCGAGATTTTGGTCCTTGGACCCACACTTGCCAGCCAGGAGCTCCCCCTGCCTTTTGGGGTCACTTGCAAATCTCATAAGAGTTCTTTGACTTCATCTAAGTGCTAACACAAACCCTGCGCAGGATAGAGCAACGTGGACAGAGTCCTGGGGCTTCCTCCTGGACAATTTTCTCTGGAATGGGGTCTTGGGTCTTTCACTAATTTCCTCTCCGAACATGAACATCACGGACTTTATATCTCCACATCTTGAATAGGAAGGTATCGTAAACTTTTTAAAGTCATGAAATCTATTTAAAACAACTTTGGAGGGGAAGGAGAGGGGACAGAACAAATTTGACCATGGTAAATTTACACAGCGATTGGAGGTTGCAGCCCAGTGTCTGAATGATTAAAATATGAAAGAAATGCATCCCAGCAACACAGCAATAATGGTAATACCCAACCGTTATAGCTCATTCACACGGGAAGCCCTGTGCAGGGGCTTCTATACCTGCAGCATCTCAATGTAAATTTCCTAACAACTGGAGGAGTTGGTATCATCATTCCATTTGACAGATGAGAAAACTGAGGCTTGGAGGTGGTAACTTGCTTGAGGTCAGTCCCATAGCTGGTGAAAGAAGGATTTGAACCTGAGTCTTTCTGTTTCCAAGGCCTCAGCTGTTGACCTTCTTCTGATACTGCTCCAGAGAACAACCTGGCTGGATTCCAACAGACTGTCTACAGCCAATTTGGAGCTGGCAGCCCATTGGCTATGTCTTGTTTGTCCTACAGAGTGCTTTAAATTTTTTAAATTAGTTGCTTATTTAACAATGAGGATATTTTACATGAACAAATCTTCATGTTTGGCTCTTCCTGATAAATCAAAAGACGAGGCCATACCAGGTGGGAGGCAAGAACCCAGGGTTTCAGGCTCTAGTTTGCCTCAGTTTCCCCACTCCCTTCCCCGACTTGCCCTGCCTGGCCCAGGAGCATTGCCGTGGCCTGCCAGTCAAGTCTCCTGATGGAACATGGAAGTGCCGTTTATTCCCAGTGAACCATTTCTGCCTCCCAAGAACTGTCTCAGTCTTTTCTGGGCCCTTAGGCAAAGCCTCTTACAGATCTGTTCCAGGATGTTGATGGAGGGGCTGGTGGGGGGGTGGGGGGAGCAGTCCAGGATGGTCTTTTGATTAGAGAGACCAACCATTCACCTGTTTTGAAAATCATGGCACTGGTCTACTCTCTGAAGGTGTAATTAAGGGTCCTGCAGTGGGAGATTAGCCTGGATTATCCAGAGGGACCCAGTGGAATGACAAGTGTCCTTGGAAGAGGGAGGCAGGGGAGCTGACACCGTGGCCAGTGATCTCAGAGGCAGAGACTGGGGCGATTCAGACACGAACTGAGGAGCAAGGAGAGCCACGAAGCTGGAAGAGGCCAGGCCGCGTTCTCCCCTGAGCGTGGCCCTGCCAGCGCTTTGATTTTGGCCCCAGGATCCTCATTTAAGACTTCTGGCCTCCAGGACTAATGATAAAAAGAACTGTTGTTTTAAGCCACCAGGTTTGTGCTAATATGGGCGGGCAGTCCCAGGAAAGGAATGTACCAGGGTAAGAACTCTGCTTTTCTGATGTCTGGAGTGCGCGGCTCCCGGTTCAGCAGCCACCTTGGGCAGAGGTGAAGGGGATGCGGAGTGAGCCGAGGACTCCCGGTCCTTACCTCGTGGCTGGCTTCAAACAGCAGGAATTTTTTTCTCTTGCAGGTCAGAGGCCAGAAGGCCCAAATCAGGTTGTCAGCAGGGTTGCTCCTTCTGGCCGTCTGGGAAAGGATCTGCCCCGGGCCCCGTCCCAGCTCCCGTGGTGTTCCCTGGCTTGCAGGTGCATCTCTCCAATCCCTGCCTCTGTCTTCATAGGGCCTTCTTATAAGCACACCAGTCACTGGATATAGGGCCCATACAAATCCTGTATGACCTCATCTTAACGAATGACATCTGAAAAGACCCAATTTCTAAATATGGTCACATTCTGAGGATGCAGGTGCATCTCTCCAATCCCTGCCTCTGTCTTCATAGGGCCTTCTTATAAGCACACCAGTCACTGGATATAGGGCCCATACAAATCCTGTATGACCTCATCTTAACGAATGACATCTGAAAAGACCCAATTTCTAAATATGGTCACATTCTGAGGTTCTCGGTGGACATGAACTTTGGGGGACACTATTCAACTGGGTAACATCCCATTCCCAGGAGTTACAATCTTCAGTTTCTGAAACGGGGACATAAGTCACAGGTACATTTGATTCAGGACTCTTCCTGGAAAAGTTGTTATTGAAGCAATGGTGTGTTGATTGCTTCTTAGAATCCAGGAATGACTATAGAGTTCTCTTTGAAGAATGTCGGTACCGCTGCAGCATGTACCGGAGTTCACTTCATTCCTTCATCCCTCATTCCATTTGTTCATTCAGTGTTTGGGCCTCTGCTGATTTCCTTTTGAGCAGAACAATGCAGTCCCTGACCACATGAAGCACATAGTCCAGTGACGAGAAAGGACCCTTGAGTCCCCCTGACTCTTTGCTCATCCGTCTGTAAGCAGATGTTGTCAAGGAAACAGACAAAAATGTAAATATCCACTCTGGACTGAATTGCAAATTGCACCCTTTTCTCTTCATGCAAATCCTGACAAAGCAGTCTGAAACTCCAGACCTGTTGACCCCTGACAAGAAGGTCACCTGTCTCCCACTGAAAAACAAACCAGGATGCCTCAGGTTGAATCTCTGAGACAGACAAGGCCTCCTGTCAGCCATGTGCCTCCCAGAGAACCAGGTGAGGAGTCACCTGAGAGACACCTGCAAACTTTGGGCACTTCCCCTTCTTTCTGATCAAGCCCACAACCCTGCATGGGTGCCCAGGCTGCTTGTGACCCACCTGCCACCTGGCCAGCTTGGTTTCTTCCTGCCTCTCCTCCTCTGTACCCAGAACTACGTGGCCTTAGACAGGACCCCCACCTCCACCTGTTCACCCTGGGCCTCTGCTCTTGCTGTTCCCTCAGCCTGAAATAGTCTTCTCATGATCAGCTACTTCTCAGGACAAATGTCACCTCCTCTTGGAAGCCTTCCACCTGCCCCCATGTCCTCTCCTGTCACCCTGTTTCTTTCCTGTTACCAGTCTGTGAATTCTGCACACATGGGAGCTACTACTCAAGGCCATAGCACCCAGGCTCTGGGAATGTGAGCCCAGGTCAGGTGAATCCACGTGGCTCACCCACCTACCAGCCCAGAGACAAAAGGTGAGCCACTTCACCTCTCTCCACCTGCTCAGCCTCAGCAGAAGCCAGGATACTGCAGGGATCCACCATGGCAAGTTATCGAGAAGCTGGGATGGGACGAGCTTGGAAAAACCCCATTTCCTGGCTTCTTGCTGGTGCAGCCCTGTGCCCCATGTATCTGAAGGTAGGTTTAGGAATGTCTGAAACTGACCCAGAAAAGAGGAATGAAGAGAGAGGTGAGAACAAGTATGACTGTCCAAAAGGAGCACCCGTCAGGTGGAACACGTGGTAAATGTGGAAGCAGACAGCTTATATTTCTGGTAACTAACTAAGTCATAAATAAAATATTGATGTGCACCCACAATTTGTTGGTGAAATGTCCCAAAGCTGAAAATAAATAAGAGTATACTGTGATGGGCTTTGGGGAAATGGCTCCGGGATGGGCAACACGAGGCCAAAGGTCCAGCCCCAAGGGAGCGGCGGCTGGCAGGGTTCCCGGTCCCTTCAGTGCTTCACTTGTTTTGATCGTCTTGGTTCCCTCAGGGGAGCTGGTTTCCTGAGAGCTGGGACTCAGCCAGCTGAAGTCCCCGGGGCAAACCACCACACCTCTCTGGGCTCATCTGGCTCATCCGTAAAATGGGAGGCAAAGTAAACATGATT